ACTACACGCACCACGCTGTGGCGGAAAGCAGATTTAAAAGCACGGGTGCTCCCAAAATGCCAGGAAACAGCAGCAATCAGGGCCACTACTTCAGAGAGCCCATGGGCTAGATTTCAATTGCCCTGAGACCGACTCGCGGATCGTCTCAACCTCTATGAGTGAATTCCATAAACACACAGGATGCCCGCAAGATGCCCCCAAAGCAGAAAGCCCTCAACACACTCTGGTTTGGCTTTAGTTTTTTTTTGCAGACTCCTCGGTGGCAGTGGCTCCGCAGCTGAACGAAACTGCAGGTCGTTGCCTCGAGCTTCGTGTACTGTGCTGATTGGCATTCCATGCTTTTGGGTTTTTCGTCTATCCCGTTGACACGGACAGATGCCAGTTTTTGCCAAACTGTTAAATAGTAGAGATCGGCGCCTTCCGCGCCACGGTTGTGAACATCCGTGCTTTTGGCCCCTGCCTCGCTTGGGTCCTCAGTTATCCGGTAGTACCCGATCTGCTTCTGAGCCAGAATCAGGTCTGCCTCTGCCTGATGATTGTTGTTTTTTTCGCCTGTGGTGTTCCGGATGGATTTCCAGTCACACCAACTTTCGTCCGGTCCGGTCCTGTAGGAAGTTGCTGGCAGATCCTCGATCGGTTTGGTTGCACTTTACCCAGCTGATCCGAATGGATCCCGCCGGCGGACCGGCAGGACTTTTCGCCAACGGCTAAAAACAGAGAGGGTCGCCCGACTGCCTGCTTCGCTGCTGTAGGACCTCGACACCGTTAATTCAAACCGGTAGGAAACGGAAGCTGGGCCCGAACGCCCCGGGAACTGCGCTCATGTGCGATAAGCGTGTGATGTCGAGGTGTGCGAGTCTTGACGTTGCAGTCCTTCAACATACTCAGTTCTGTTGCGGCATCGTCGTGTGCACTCCTGTGGTCACGAGTAAACTTCTCAAGATCATGATCCTCGGTCACGAGAGTCGTTGAGCTCAGCATGCCAGCATTAAAACGAAGGTTTCCGAGTACATGCAGGATTCCATATTACATCATAGGAAATTGAGTCAATCTATATATTCAGTTGTTCTCATTTTCAGGAATATGTGCTGGTTGACTACCGTTGAAATAAAGCAAGTATGACGTGATTGGATCCGTTGAGTTGAACATGAATGACCATACGTATGAAACGGTGACAACCGATTCCATTGAATCAGTTAGTAGGTGGCCCGCCCGATGCTTCATGCATTGACAGGCCTAATGTGAAGTTCCGACTCTTGTAAATTTTGCGGCTTCAAGACCCTTAAGCGACATTTCATGCCAGTCGAACGAATGCCTGCGGTACATGCGCTTTTGTTTGCTTTGAGCCCTCAGGCTACTGTGCAGATCGGTGCAGATCGTTGATCTGTTGCATGTATAAGTTGTTTCTTTCTTTGGCGAGTTTTTCGCACGCCAGATAGGTTCAACGCATTTACAATCATGTCGGATTGCCCGGCTGCGGGCGCGCATGGACATTGCAGAAGCAGAATGGCATGACCGTTGAAGTGATGAAGGAAATTCCTGCCAAAGGATGCTTCATTTCTGGTTCCCAGAAGGTGGATGTGCGGCTTTGTGTCCACCAGGTCTTGGCAGTGGACCTGGAAGAAGAGACCTTCACCATGGAATTCGACCTTTTTTTCAGATGGCAAGATCCTCGGCTCAGGCGTGCGGACCGCGCAACGAAAGCATGCAGTGGTAGATTTGCCATATTCGATCACACAGTCAAGTGCAACCGCATGTGTTTGACAGGAACTGGCTTACCAGAGTTTGGCTTCCGACTGACAGCCAAGTCAGAGGGCAGGGAAGCTGCCAAGGACTTCCTTTTGTGGAGGGCATATTCAGAGAGGGCAAGGGCGCCAATTTCATCAAAGTGGAAGGTTTTGAAGAACCTTTGGCTGCAGGTAGCGTATGTTGCCTCTAAGCCTCTCAGCTTCGCTTCGAATTCACCTGTTGCCAAGGAACAGGCCCTTGAGAGTTTCCTGTGCAAAGAAGAACCTGACTTCGAGGCGTTTGGGCAGCTTTTTGGCACCAGCAACAAGCTAAATCTTGCAAAGCTGATGGAAGAGCCGATTGTGCTGACTGAGCACCAGCGCCTCACAGATGGCGAAAACGGAGAAACTGTTTTGTTCCGCAAGATGAAAGCAACCTTCAAGGAGACGCATGCCAGAGCTTTCATTTCCATGTTTTGCATCTGCAGTGAAGTTTGCAACGTGCTTGAGTCACCAGCAATATGCAGGAGAACATGGAGTTGCGGCGATTTCCGTTTGATCGCCAGATCTTGCAGTTCACAGTCACAGCCGCCTTGCCAGTGCAGATCTTGCGCCTGGAGGCTGGACTTGTTTTTAAAACGGCAGGGATTGTCTAGAGAGCATAGATTTGTTCAAAATCCTGTTGTCATTAAGGCAGTGGTGAGATGTGGGGAACGACATGTACAAAGTGCTAAAAGTGACACTTTAGTGCATTGCACGTCGTGCTGCAGGTTGACGAAGCCTTGTCTTCAATCTGTCGGGTGAAAGACTTACCAGAATACGTGGTGGACCAAGAGGAGCAGCAAGAGTGGACCCTCAAAGCCAAACCCACCAGCGGGAACGCCAGTGGCAAAGAGTATTCGCAACTGCGGGCTATGATATTCATCGAGCGCAAGCCCCGAAAGTACATCATCAATGTCGTAGTTATGGTATACCTGCTAGTTCTGGCTTCTTTCAGCAATTTCACTGTCGAGGTGCAAAGCCCAGGCTGACAGGGCAACATTGGTTTGTTTTTGCATAAGTCGGAACGTCACCAGGGGGATTTCAGCGATTTTTTGGTCGCGACTGAAATGCATGCAGACGCTTTGTGCAGGCGATCGCATTTCCAACACCATCACCTTCGTTCTGACAATCATGGCTTTGAAATATGTGATTAACGACCAGCTTCCTTCAAAACAGTACCAGACTCTTTTGGACATCTACTTGCTCGCATCATATGTTTTTTTGATTCTGCCAGCAGTGGAGATGTTGATGCTACATCTGTGGTTGGAGCGGGCTGGTCCCACGACGCACAGCTGGGAGGTTGCTGAATCTCTGGATAAGATGTTTGCTCTTGGTTTGTTTGGCCTTTGGAACGCTGTTCACTTGCTGTTCCTGGGTCTTTACACGTGCGACAGTGCCTGTTTCCACCAGCCCTGGGAACAAGTACGAGATCATCAGGATGATGCTGTGGAGGCTGGCTCGTGTTGGCGTCTCGTCTCATAGATTGCCGTAAGTCTGCTTGGTTTCTTTCTTGGTTTGGGTTCCTACTCCCCGTGCCGGCATGAGCCGAAAAGAATTCCATTTAAGGCGCATCGGATGTGATCGAGGCTACCGTTACCAATGCCTCTGTCCTGGCGGTGAGGATACGTTGCTCGGCGAGGCTAATTGCTCTTTCTTTCTGGATTTCTTTGATAGAGAAGCCGAGGTGACTGTCTGCGCAAACTCTTATTTCACCTGTTGCAGCTGTGTCAAAGCAGGGTCCCCATTTCTTAGGGTTCCAAACAACCCTTGCGTTCTGAGCCGCGAAATCAGCGGGTTTCACTCCGATGGCTACGAAATGTGGCAAAGCCCAAAGTTGGCTCAATAGACTGTTGAATCATGCCCTCTCGGCATCAAGCATTGAACACCTTCCTGGACAGTGCACAAGCCACGATTGGGGCTGGGCGAAACCAGATTCACGGCCCGGGAACTGCGAATCACCTCCTCTAATATTGAGAACCCCTGCACCCCCAATATTACCCTTAACATAAAGAAGACTCCTCATAGCAGCCAACACACAATGTGGACCATGCTCTTAATACGACGGGTAGGGGATTATGATGAACACGGTCCAGCAGATAGTCATGGAAAAGAGTTTCCCGGGTGAGCCATCGTCAAGTCAAGCTAACAATAAATACAGACTTCCGATTCGCTCGGGTGTTGTTGTCGTTTCATCCCTTGATCTTGAAATTTGGTGGGCTCAGTACAGGTCCTCCCAAGTTTAGGCCCAGGTCTGGTTCCCATGTTTTGTGCGGTAGTTTTAGATTTGCTCAGAGGTTATGTATGGCGTGTGAAACGTGAAGCCATGAAAGGTTATCCATCAAACGCGAGTTGGATACCAACATCCCTCCGACAGGAGGGCCTGATAGCAATCTGTAACACAATCATAAGCCCTAACCGGCCCTCGAGAAGACAACTGGAAGATTTCAGAGATGGCCACCAGATCACAGATCAGGGCCGTCGTACTCCCAGGTGGAACATTTGTCGGCATTGCTCTTGTGGCTGGATGTCATCATGGCAGGAGAGAAATAGTGTTTAAAGTTTACATACATTCACCAAAACCCTTATATACCTATATACTACACAATCAAAAGAGCAATACAGATGTGATCTGCCCATGATTGTTGTTGGACAGAATCGAAAAGTCCCGGCCTGCGCAGGACCATCCGGAGGAGTAAAACTCGGATGTATAAAAAAGACAAGAAGCCCTGAGTCGTTATAAGCACGGCAAGAAAAATCCATGTTTGAAATTATATAACCCTTGTCTGAATGCCCAAGAATTTGAAGGGAGATCCTCTAGAAAGCTTAGCAGGTGTGACTTCCAAGAACTTCCACTCACGCCTTTGCAACCGCTACATCAGCCAACGACCGCAACCGCCACAGATTCCCCAACTGCAGCTGTCAGTCTACTCCTCATTTGTGGCATACCTATATACACCACACAACCACTTCTTCTATGAATGAATGCACCCGCCACAGTTCCTCGTGCCAGGATCTCCAGCAAAACTTCATGTAGAGAACGAGAATGAACGACAGATACCTCGGCACGGAGCAATGCATCACACAGGTGGAGGGGGAGTCTGGAGCGAATGGAGGCTTGGGGACTCAAGTTTGGGGTGATCGTAGATGTATTTCCAGCAGCAATGCTGTATCGCTACATACGAACATGTGTATAATCTCCTTCTTCCCGAGCGTAGTCTGGGCGCGCCCGAAATCAGTTCACTTCCATGTTTCCTGTTCGCAGCACGGCACGAACTGTGAATCCCGAGCCTTGCGGGCGACAAAGCAATTTTTGGTTTTCATGTTGCATCTGCTGGAAAGTATCTACTTTGAGAACGGGGCCTGGTGTTGCAAAGTGTGGGCAAAGAGTCAAGTCAATATGCGGACATGCCAATGCATGTGGGGGTAAAGGCAGCTAAGAGTCCGTACAGGAGATGTGAATGTTCTGTTGCTTGCTTCCCGCTAGGGCTTTCTCACCCTCAGCTCGATGTAGAAATTGCTGGTGTTTTGGCCTCTGGGGCTGGTGGCGATGGGCGGATGCATTTCCTTCATGCCGGCGCGGCTGGACCCTGCGACAGGCGAGTTGTCCAAGTACTTTGCAAGCATGTACATGGAGGGTGAGCTTTTTCAAAGCATCAAGTACAAGTCCAAATCTGTGGACCAGGTGCGAACATTCCCCTACTGGGCACCAGATGGGCCGGTGTTTGTCTGGCAACATGCACTCGACCTCAGAGATCCTGCTGTGTCCGAGGATGTCATCATTCTGTATCACTACAGCAACTATCTGTGCTTCCAAAACGTGGCGAATGAGGAGCAGAGTGTTGCAGAGCTGTTCGCTTCTTTTGTGGAAAGTCGGGCACACTTTGGCCAGGGCGTGTATGCCACTCAGCATGAGCCGTCCGTTTGGGGCTCACGTATACGGATATTGTTGAATAACTACAGCAACGAGAACCCGCTGCGGGCACTCATGTGTGACAAGGAGTCCCAGAGGGTGCTTCGTGAGTGGGGTGATGATAATCCTGCGGGACACCGGGCAGAGTTCTGCGTCCCTTTGATCGTGCCCAAATCCAGGGCTTACAACATCTTCGAGCGCCAGACGCCTGACCTTCAAGCCAAGAACGTCCCCCTGGGATCAGACTAAAAAGGTCGCGAAGTCCACTGTACAGAGCATCGACTATCTGATTACACTCCTGTTTGCCAGAAACAAACTGGAGGAGGCAGAGGCCCTGTGCAGAGAGTCAGTGCAAAGCGCCCGAGAACTTCAACTAGACCTGTCAACGAGCCGCAACCTACTGGCATCCCTGCTTTTTTCCACCCAGCGTCTCGATGAAGCAGAAATGCTGTTTCGCGAGTGCTTGCAAGAATCGCGAGCCGATCGTCGCGGCAGCTTGCTTCTGGACCTCAACAACCTGGCAATGGTATTGGAGGCCAAAGGCCAGCCGGATGCAGCTGAGCCGCTCGCGCGAGAGAGTCTGCAAGAATATCAGACAGAGTTGGGTGATACGCACCCACGCACTCTTGCCAGCAAGCACAACTTGGCAAGACTGTTGTTAAGTTTGGGGCGTGCAAACGAGGCCGAGACTATGTTCCGCCAGTGCCTTCAGACCAGCCGAGACAAGCTGGGCGATGTGCATCCGCAGACCTTGACCTTCCTTGCAAACTTGGCCAGATTGATGAAGAGCTGCGGCAGCCCGCATTATGCAGAGGAGCTTTATCGCGAAGCTTTTGAAAGCAGCAAAGCAGCGTTAGGGGAAGGGAACCAGAGCACACTCATAAATGCCAACTGCTTGGCCGAGCTGCTGATTGCCAGAGGCTGCTTGGAGGAGGCAGAGCCGCTTCTTCAGGAGTGCTTGCAGCTCTCCCGCGCCAATCTGGGAAATCTGCACCCGTGCACCATCGAGGCTGTCCAGATGATGGCTGGCTTGCTCTGTACTAGAGGACAGTTTGAGAAGGCAGAGCCTTTGGTCCAAGAGGCACTCCAAGCTTACAGCATAGCCGGAGGTGACACAGATGCTAACACCCTTCGAAAGCGCGTTTACATGGGCAGGCTTCTTCAAGGTATGGGAAGATTAGATGAGGCACAGCTGCTCCTGCGAGAGTGTTTGCACAAGGCCCAAACCAGTTTGGGTGACAAGCACGTTGAAACTCTACGAGCTGTGAACGAGTTGTCCGCTGTGCTATACAGCCAAGGGCAGGTGGCCGAGGCGACCTCTCTTCTCAAAGACTCTTTGCCCAACTGCCGAGCCATCTTAGGCAGCGGGAACCCAGACAGCCTGACAATGATGAACAACATGGCCACTTTGCTCTTTGTCAACAAGCATGTGGATGAAGCCGAGCTTCTTCTCCTAGATTGCTTGCAGCACAGCCGCGCTAGCCACGGCAATGCCCACAAGCTCACTCAGAATTTTGTCAAGAATTTGGCGAAGATGTATTTTCACAGTGCCCGTTTTGACAAGGCTGAGCCACTCTTTCGCGAGTTCCTTCAGTACTGCCGGGAAACTCTGGGCGACACACACCCCGAAACGGAAGATGCAATCAGGAGCCTTGATCTGACGACGGCAAACAAGGACAAAGCGAAGCTGAATGATGCAGGTAATGTTGATCCTCTCCTTGGTGATCTCCCGAATGGATGGGCACAGTATGCATCGAGGACGACCGGAAGTCTCACAAAATGCACTGGTGCTGCACGTTTTAACCCGTTTTAAGCCGAAGGGAATGTAACGAGTCGAGCTCGTTACGAAAAGGACTTTGTTTAAAGATTGGATTCGCATTGCCTGGAAGCCTGTCCAAAACTGGCCGCAGGCAACATACATGTCGCGGTGCGGAATCGTTAGCAAGTGAAACCGCACGGATGTGTCTTGGTGGTGACCTTGTTTTTTGTTCAACGCGATGTTGCTGCACGCTTGTTTGAAGTTTTGTGTGTAGCATTGTGCAATTCTCAGGTTCATGTTGGGCATACTCGTTATTGCCAACTTGCTTGAACACGGCCGCAGCTATTTGCGAGCTGCATGCGAAGCCTGTTGCTGGCACCCGCCGAATGCACCTTGGCTGACAAGGTCTGGGTGAGTCACCAATTTCAGATCTCGCAGGGTGGAACCTGGCTGAAAATGGAGCCCTGATATGCTTGCTTCAGTTAGACCTACGTCGCACTGTCATGTGATTTGATGAGTGAAGCTGGTCGAGGGCGGCGGCTGCAACGCCTCGCGGAACAACCCCTAGATTGTTGCCTGGAAGAGGAGGCACGCTGGTCCGTGCGCATGTGCGTAAAGGGATGTCTGCCTGGCACCTGATTAGACAGCAGAAGGCGTTGCTTGGTAAGAGAGTCAGTGGAGGCGGAAGCCGTCCATCGGCATTATCCGGAGATGTGGTTGGTCGAACCTTCGGTTGCATGGCAGCACGAGTTACCGGCGGCAATCAGTCGTAGTGCAGATTGGGAAAAAGGTGCATATTGTGGGGTTGAAACAAGGCTGTCCGGATGTGAAGAAGAGGTCTTTATGTGCGACGCGACAAAGATGTCATCGTTTGCGCACTAGAAGATTCGTCGTCTTCGCCTCACTCGCATCGCTCTCGTTCGATACTGTCGTCTCTGGTTTCAGGGGGCTTTCAAGCCACGTTGCGAAGCTCAGGCCTAGCAGCATCTGATGCGGGCCACGCTGCGCCAGGCTCTGGTGTGCGTTTTGCATGCGCTTGCGGGCTTCACCAGCCAATGTCGTTCACAGCTTGATAGGAGCTGCGGAGGAGCACCCGCTCGAGCTGGACAAGGTTCTGGTCTTTCCTTGAGCGGACTTCCATTCAGGATTTCGAGTTGCCGTTCCGACGTGTAGGCATGGCAGCCGTGTTGTGGCACCTCGTACATTTGCTTGTACAAGACACGTATCGGGTGTTGTGTTATTTTGGACTTGTCGTTCAAGCTCCAATGCCAGGCAGCGACAACGCCCAGGCGAGGCTCAGTACTGCCCGGTTAAGGTGGATTGATCACTTATGGGAAGAGCGCATTCAGCAGCATGTGTAGGCCCGATCCGAAGGAAGAGCCTTCAAACACGGAGGCACGGATGATTCGCTTGTGTACTAGGAGGCAACTACTTTGGGACGTTCAAGCTGCAGCAAGATGCGTTTTTCAGGCCGTCCGCCTCCGGCAGTGCTACATTCGTGACAATGTGGCTTTCCTCTTGGGAAGGGCACCAGACACGCCGCGAAGCCAGTGAGTGTGTGTGTGTGTGTGCGTAGACAACGCAGTGTTACGATCATTGCATCAGCTGTGCTTCTGCTGAAGACGAGGTCCCACCCGCCGGTGGAGTCACGGACCCAGAGAGGGAGAGAGCGCGAGAGAGAGAGCAGAGCGAGAGAGCGAGAGAGAGAGAGAGAGATAGAGCGAGTTTACAGCATTCACTCATTGGTATCTGATGTTGTCAACCTGGGTTTGGTTTGATTGTGTTGAAGCCCAAGTAGTATCCACACACTGGCGCCCATGTGACATTCACCTCTCGACAGATGATTTTTCCCGTGATCTTTGCCTTTAACCGTTGCTGCTTACCTTGTTGCTTTCAATGCTTTCCTTAAATGAAACACACAACGGCACTAACAAACCGAGAGACGGGCGAAAGTCTACTGATATATTGTTTGAGGGTTAGGTTGTGAGCACATGTTGTCATGACACGAGATGGATTGGCCCCTAATTGAACTGCTGACGAATCCTGAAATAACAGCTTGTTCATTTTGTAGAGTTATCGCTGTACTCTGTGGTGGAACCCCCGCTATACATGCAGATCACTGCACTTGGAGGGGTTTCTTCCCTGTCAGCTGTGAAGTACTATTCCCGGCGAAGGTGTCGCGATAGTTTTGTCTGAGACACGTTCCCATAACATACATGGGGGCCTCCCAGACCGCAGGGGGTGGAGGTCGCTGTGAAAGCGAGGGGGAGGGAAGGTAGTTGAGTGACAGGCACGCATGCTTTTCTGTTGCCGAATCTGCAGGTTGAAGATGCTGGAGATGGCCACACCAAGGAGAGCTGAGCTCAGTCCGCCCTGAAACGAAACAAGCAAGAACGGTCTGTTTTCGTGGAGTGTGCCTTTTGGTAGATCTATGCTGCTCACGTGTTCTTTAATGATGGGCCAGTTGCATCACGTTGCATCAAGTGGAGGTCTGGTGAACGTCGCCAGTGCCACGAAGGATTGCCACGGCCTTGCTGCGCTTGAAGGAGCTGACCGCCTGGATGGTCTTTACACGAGGACAGTGCGTCGGACCTCGGATGTCGTTTCAATACAGTTGTCGAGTTCATCCAGAAAGTTGTAGCACAGTTACTTTGCATCTTAGTTTGCCCTGCAGGAAGCGTGACCGAGTGACGGAGTACATGGAGATTCTGATGCAGCAGTCCCATCTTGCCCGTGCCCCTGCATGCTTGAGGAACAGTGAATGCCTGCACGAGCCGACTTGTTCGGTTCTCGTTCAGCAGCAACCCTAGCACGCCAACCGCAATTAGCTCGTGAGGCGGGCAGTGAGACTATGCGTTTCAAAGTGCGAGGTGCAGGTGGTTTTTGAGAGACTTTGCGATGTCCTTGATTCCAAGGTGCGGAAGAAGTGATGGCCTGTTTACCTCCCTCCCCTCTCTGACCTTCCATACCAGGCTTCGATCGACTCCTCGCCTTTGATATTGAAGGTTAAAAGTCTTTCGAATGTTTTGGTGCTGACGCCCATCTTGTTGTTGTTCAGCCACGCTAATCTGCTTGGGTTCTCGAGTCGCTGTTTGCAAGAGTGGTCTTGCACATGGACTTGGGATGCTCTATGTGTTCCACAGGTTCCTCGAGTCAAGACTTGAGATTTAATTTTCTTGGCCCTGACGTCAAGCGGGAGTCGGGGACGCGACCTCGCTGTCAGAAGACAGGAGCTGTATCCCTTTGAAGCTTTGAGTCAGGAGCGATCAGATTGATTTGTCCCACGTCCAGTGGACCTCCATCAGCTCCGTGCAGTTGCGCCACTCTTCCATCGCCCTTCTTGGAATCTCCGTGTCTTTGTTGCTGGAACGACTGCACACCTTAGTCATATGGCTGCTGACGGCAAATTCTGCTTCGCAGCTTCTTACAAGCAGGAGGTGCTCTAGTTTGCCCAGACGAAGTGCTATCCGAGAGCTGGCGTGTCAACCTCAGGCGAACCTTCTTGCTGGATGTGCAGGATGTGTCCTGCAAACACACGTTCCTTGCCGCGAAGCGGTCCCTGAAATATTGAGTTGGTGGAGGAGAGAAAGCCACGGTTGTTCATGAGTCATTGTGCTGATAACGTGCAAAAACGGTCATCCCTGCGAGATGTTCTACTCTAGTGAAGCTGCAGAACGAAAGTAGACTTGTGTTTTTGCTTGGGCGCTTCAGCTGGCTTGGAACTCCCTCGTTCTGCATCCTTCGTGTCCTTCGTTCAGTCTTAAGACGGCAGGAGTCGATTTGGGCTCAAGCTCGCCTCGGATTCACACTCACATGATACACACCGTCACTGTGACCAGCACTTGTAGAAGTGTGGAGAGTGCATAGTACAGCAAAGCACCGCGGTGACTGTAGCCACACAGGCCTTCTACGTATTCCGCACTGGAGGTTTGATTTGCCATTTGTTGCTCTAGCAATGGCCAGGCCACGACGTGTGGCCAACAGTTGCAGGCGTCCTGTCAGTGTGGTTTGAAATGGCTGCACAATTACGATTCAAGTTTGCCTGTGATCGACCAAGCATGGTAACAGAGAATCTCTTGGCTCATGTACGAAGATTGCGCAGAGACATTTTCACTCACACACACACACACATACATACTTAGAAAAGTGGTTTCTGCACTCACGGACAGATGTACCTGAAGTACATACGCTAGCTGTTAGTGCACAGGAGACTCCGTTGCTGTGTGTAATCAAACATGGGGTCGAGCCATCATGAATGTCAGATTG